AGCACATATGTGCTTACCATAATGGGGACTGCCTTTGAAGATCACCCAGAAACAATATGTAGTATGAAATGTCTTGACCATGGATGATTTGTCACTTGATGTTATGAGCTCATTACACCATATGTGGACCCTGCACTGATAACCATTCAGTTTCTGAGAGCATTTCAAAGTTCTGATTTTGAATGAGTCTGCCTTGTATAACTTGGCACCTAGGTGTTTTACAGGAGTTTCTTATCCAGCCTTTCTGATACAGACAACCTGAAATAAATCGCAAATGTTCTCAATATTGTTTGGTAAGAGAAACAGAAGCCCTTACCACTTTTTTGGCAGTTATGGATCTATTATGTAAATGTGTTTTTTATTTTCCATTTTCATTTTCGTACAGTCACATATATACTGTGCATAACCAGGGTCATATAACATTAAACAATAAACACAGCCATTCCTCTTGTCAACAAAACCCCCCAAAATAGAGATCCAATGTACCTCTTCGATCCTCCATACACCCTTTCTTTCGCCCCCCTCCAACTTTCCATCTTCCTTAGCAATAGCAGTAGACTTATATACCGCTTCATAGGCCTTTCAGGCCTCTCTAAGCGGTTTACAGAGAGTCATCTTCCCTCCATCATTCCTCTCTACCCTACTTCCCCTCCCCCTCAACAGTCATGATGTGACTGTTTGCCTATCCCTATTTTAAACTCTGCTTCTGTAAAATCCAGTTATTAAACTGGTTTGTTATAGTTTCCTGAATAGTTTCTTTTCTGTTCTGATATGAAAACTTATCTTTGTTAAATTTAGTTCCTTTCCAAATCTTGTTCTAGAGCAAAAAGAATAATCTTTTATATTACTTTCTAAGAATCACAGTTCTTGTGTCTCTTGCTTTCTAGATAAAACCTGTAATTATCAGGGAATGTACAAAAAGACAGGTCTTGTAGATTTCGCTTTTTGCTTGTATTTTGCCATTCTTCTTTTCTTCCTGCCTTTCAGCTTTTGTATGTGTCACAGATCAGGCCTCCTATGGATAAAAAGTTGGAACTGGTTCTTGATTTCCTCTTTAGAAAATTGTACATATATGGTATAAAATATATATTGTGCTTTATCCTTCTCACTTCAGTGGTGTCAATACAGTATTAAGTTAAAACGTGGAAAAGTTAATCCTAGAAAAGCCAATTAACGTTCCAAAATTTCTCTCATTTTCAAAAATAACGTGGCTACTATTGCAGCCAGCTTTTTCATCTGAGTTTGTCTTGACAGTTTCTATGCTTTTAATAATTTTTTGCCCAGGGTTCTCTTACCTGTCCAACATAATTACATATCTGAGCATGTGTGTCTACGTGAAAGCAAATATTCTAACAGAAAACCTTGCTCTCCACAGCTCCTCTCTGATGCTTCAGAGCCCCTGGAAAGCCAGAATTACTCACCTGTAGTTAGAGATGTAAGTCTTACAAATCAATTGTCTTTCTTCCACACATTTTAAATAGGAAATCTGGCATGTAAAGAGAGTAACAATGGCTCTCCTATATCTTTCTAGGCAGTGATTACATCCAATGGTTCACTGACTGATAAATATAAATATATCCAGAAACTGAGGGAGAACAGGTAGGGTACTTTTTTCCTCTTCAGAATATATTCATCTCAAGTGTAAAATTATTGAGTCTATTTGTGCATGCTAATATCAGTGTTTTGTTTTATTTGATGAGGTTAACATAGCAATCACAACGTGTCTACGTAAAGGCATGCAAAAACAAAAGGAGCAAATATGAACCATTCCTTCTAGTGTCATCACTATCGATGAGATATTTGTGATTCTTTGGGGAAATGTTCAAAGTTTACTTTTAGATCTGATCATCTGAATTACAGTCTCTTGCCACTGAAATATGTGGTAATCTAAAAATTCACCTGAAGGTGACATTGTCATTGATTTGAAGGATTCATCTGAAGGCAAATCAATTTAGTGCAGAATTCAATTGATATAATAAAATGGTTTCTGCACTTTGTGATTGTGGGGATAGGCAGACAGCAACACATATGTCTTTTGTGCCTGATCAATGCACATTTGAGGACCTCATGGCAGTACAACAGAAAGCAATTAATGTTACTAGTTTCTGGGCAAGATCTGTTTAACTTGTACATATTTTAATCTTGTATTTTATATTTTAAATAATATGTTGTATACTATGCATTATTTTAATTGTGATGCTTCTGATACGATTAAACAAATAATGAAGTGGCCTTATATAGCACCAATTCTGAAAGGGTTACATTGGTTGCTCATTAGCTTTTGAACGCAAGATGCTGGCATTTAAAATTTAGCCAAGGATCACACTGGGAGAAGTAATGGTGCAAAGTAGCTGAAATTTTTCATCTTTTTCCTCTTGGGTTTTTGGAGGGATTTGGATTCTTCTTTGTTTTAAAATGTACGTTCAATCATGTTTTAAGATTAGGCTATATTTCTGTGTGTTTCCCATCACACAATTCAGAAAAAAACATGTTACCATTTTTAGCAATTTTGGACAGAGGAATCTTCTAGGGATTGTAAGTGATAGTTGAGGCTTGTTTTAATCTCTTAATGATTCTATTTCTCTATAGAAGTGTTTCTTTCAGTACCCTCCCAAGAGAGAGGGAGGGGATTCCATGTTGCATAAGGGGAGGTAACTTCTGGTCTTACATTGATTATAAAAGCTTCTAGAGCAGCATTTTTAAAGTTTGGATCTCAGAGTTCTTTTGGAAAAAAAGTTCCACCAATATTATGCAGCCCTGAGTCTTTTCATTGTACACTCCTGGCCTCAGGCAATATATTTAATGCTGCCATTGTAGTCTCTGTAAATTTTGGGTTGTGGCAAGATGAGTTGTCCTGATGTAGTTTGCGATGATATAGTAAAAGTTGTGGGATTAAACCCTATTGTCTATTTATTATCATCTTTACTTTTGTGAATGAATTCAGACTGGCTAGCTAAAAGGTTCTTACACCAATATTTAAACAAGTCTCACTGATCAATAGAGCAATGGCTGTACTCTCTTGGACTGTACTTAATAAAATATGCTGATATTATGATGGCAGCAGAAAGGAACATATATTGATTTCACTGTAACCTTGTAAGTGTAAAGCTACTGCTAGAGTTAGTAGAGGCATAGAGACAGAGGCATAAATTCGCACACTATTAAACTGACCATTTTCACCGTCAAAAGCAAATGCAATATTGAATTTTTTAAAATATGGGCTGAAGTTAAATGAGCTCTGAAGGAATAAAACTCTAGTAATCAAAAGTTTTCAAAGCTAATTTATAAGGTTAACAATTTTCATGTTTATTTTACTGATATTTACTTTTAATTGTATACATCTATATATATATATATTGTAGGGAATATATGCAATCCCTGACCATGGATAAGAAGAAGAAGGTTTTAATACTTGGATCTGGATATGTTTCTGAGCCTGTAGTAGAATATCTTACAAGAGACCCCAATGTTGAAATAACAACAGGTTTGTAAGTAAGGTCCTAAAATCTCAGCATTGTTTAAACTAGGGGAGTTTCATTTATTCAATTTCTTTCAATTTATTTGAGAAGAATTATGTCTTTGTTCCTTCTGTTTGTTCTTGGCTGGGGTGCAGGTAGTCCTCACCTTATGACCACAATTGGGACCAGAATTTCCATTGTTCAGCAAGTCAATTGTTAAGGCAGTCATGCCCAATTTTACAGTCTTTTTAAAATCATGATTGTTAAGTGAATCAATGCAGTTAACTGAATCAGGGAGTCGTTCTGGCTTCCCCCATCACTTTGCTTGCCAGAGGACAACTGGGAAGGTTGCAAATGGTTATCAGTGACGCTGGCACACTGTAACCAATGTAACTACAAGCTGGTTGCCAAGTGCCCAATTTTTTTTTTGCCTGATCATGGGGATACAGCAATGGCTGCAATAGTACTAGCAATAGCACTGAGACTTATATACCACTTTACAGTGCTTTACAGCGTTCTCTAAGCTATTTACAGAGTCGGCCTATTGCCCCCAGTAATCTGGGTCTTCATTTTACCCACCTCGGAAGGATGGAAGGCTGAGTCAACCTTGAGCCAGTGAAACCTGAACTTGCCAGACTGCTGGCAGCCGGTGATCAGCAGAAACAGCCTGCAGTACTGCACCCTAACCACTGCGCCACTGTGGCTTTTACAAGTGCAAGGGCTAGTCATAAGTCACTTTTTCAGTGCCATTTGAATGATCACGACACAAGTGGTTGTAAGTCAAGGACTACCTGTGCAGGCCATTGGGTGGAATAAACATGGGGCAGAAGGGCATCACTCACAGAAACATCGTTCCATGAAAACATATCTTAACACTAAATCTTACAAAAACAACTACTTTGTATCCCACTTACTAAGTTTTGAATTACTTCAAGAAATGGGTAAAAGCAGAAGAAGGCAACCTTGTGTTTCAGTGCCAAGGGGTTCTGTAGATCTTTAGACCTGCATGTGTGAAAATTTGCTTTGCTCTTCCATTATTATTATTATTATTATTATTATTATTATTATTATTATTAATAATAATAATAATTTGGTTGATTTTTAAAATATCTAATATGGAAGGTGCCTGGAGTTGCTATGACTTCTATGACTGACGTTTATAGATGTTTATAAATAAATAAAAAACACACATCTGAGATACCTAAATTAACCCAATATACCGGTGTGCATTGATGTTGGTAATGTGCTTCTAGATCTTCTCGTGGAAATATGCTGCGTTCCTTTGGAATTAACTTTTTCAATACTGCCATTAGCATCTCTGCATTTTTTTTTTAAATTGCATAACTGAGATTTGAAATTGAGAATTGAAAATTGGGTGGAATCTTGGGCCAGCTCTTCTTACTGGGATTATTCTTTAATTTTTTATAACTTTTTTAGTGATGTTCTCAACACCTCTCCATCCATGACTGATAAAATTGTAGGATGGGGTGATTTTTCTTTTGCTTGATTTTAGTGGAATTTTAGTGGAAGATCCAGAGCCTTATGCTACTTGCTAGCAAGTTGAGTTAAAATGTACCTGACTGCCTACAGTATCACCCACATTAAATCTCTGCCTGGTAGAGAATGTGGGAGTAGTTGACCTGAATGGCTTAGAATGACTAAGCCATCATTTCATTATTTTCATTTGTTGATACTCTTGATTTCTTTCCCCTCCAAACAGTTTCTTCGGTGAGCCTTTGTCCTAGATCAGGTACTGCTTTGCCTGCATGGATTAGCTTAGTTTTAGCTAAATATTGATCAGAACTCCTCCTTCGGTTCTTGCCACTACGTACCACAACATGGTTTTAGAGAACACTCACTTTTTGGTCATGATTCTACAGATAATAGTTTCCACCAATAAGGCTTGTTTGTTGAAGTTTTATTGCTCTAATCCATTTGATACCTCGTCCTTTCATCTTAAAATGCTGCCTCCCTGTTAGAATGGCTGCCTTCAGAAACCATTGCAAATTGCGGAAGTTTATTACACCTATTTTATTGCCTAAGAAAAATAATTTTGCCAACTTGTGATGGCTAAAGTACCAAAAAATTTCCCATCATTGGTTTACATGACCAGTTGAGCTTTATATCTCACAGATAATCCCCTTCTTTTCTGGATGGTTCAGCAAGCTATGGCTAATCTGATAAGGATGTGAAACTTTCTGACATTGTTTCAGTGGAGGAGTGCATGAGAACAAGGTTTTCCTGATCTCATCCTGCTAATGCTAAGCTATGGTTCTGGTTTTGAGAGGCAGCATCAAATCAAAGATAATATACAGGTTAAAAATACTGTGGGAGCCAGTCTTTTTCATCTATTATTTGCACTCTCTAATAGCCTCTATCATGAAGACTCAGCTTGAGCAGTTGTCCAAGAAATACAATAATGTTGTTCCCGTCATTATGAACATCACAGAAGACGAGAGATTATCATCCTTGGTGAAAAAACATAATCTTGTTATTAGGTCAGTATTTGATCATCCATTTCAGAAAGTGAAAATGAACTGTTCCAGAATAAACCTTGATAATTTAAGCATCTGATTCCTAGCAGTCACCCAGGTTGGAATTTTATTTATTGAAATCTTTTAGGTGTTTACCTCCAAAATTTGGGCCCATCATTACATAACATTAGCATTAAACAATAAAAATGAATTATAATGATACAATGATCACAAAAATAAAGTCTAAATGTATATGTTAATGTCTCTGATAAGTATACTCTGATGAAATATAGTGAAATTCCCAAAAGATTATATTATAATTCATTTGGTCTTATATAGATGTTGTCTTTTCTATTATTTAAAATGTTTTGGGTTTTTTTAAAACTAAGAACATGTTGCAGGCTAGTGGAAACATACAGTACATTTTCTGGTTCAGGTGGTTTTTCCCCAAAGAACTCAGGATTATATATGCTAATTTCCCCCAACTTGGTGTTTTCTATGGAGTTTGATGGAAGATCATTATCTGGAACAGCACAGTTTGAGAAAAAAAATGAGATGTAAACTGTCTCCCTCCTTCTCTCCCATTTTATTCTTAACAACATCTTTGTGAAAGAAGGGTAATAAGTAATTCACTCACTGATATTATTTATGTATTTTATTTATTAAAAATGTACTGTACGGCTGTGCATCTAAAGCAAATAACTGAGTGGAAACAAATACAAACCGAAAGAGACATAATAAATATAAAAGCTGAAGCATCTTATGCATAATTAAAAATCCCAATGCACTATATCAAGTTCCTAACAACTCTGCCTTCTACTAATTTAAACCCAGTTTGTTCAATTTGAAATTTGTCATAGTAACAGACGAAGTTCATAATTCTGATTTCGGTGAACTATGTAGAACTAAAGAAGTATGTTTTGCTATGTGTGGGTGTGTGAGTATCCATGCAAACGCACACACAAGAAAGCTCATGTAGCAAGAACTAAAGGCATTAATTGCCTCACATTTAATTAAGTATTGGTCCATTTGAGTTAGCACTGACAACTAATGATTTCCCATAATGATTGAGCAGAAAGAGGAAAAGGCATAGGTCTTCCACTTTCAAATGTTTACAAGGGATTCCTGATTTAAACCTGGATCATTACATATGTAGCATGTGCCCTAGTCCTCTCAAAATTTCATTTAGCAATTTGTATATGTTTTATAAAATGCTGCTTAATAACATTTAAAAATAAAGTAGAACAGGTTCATATTTAGAGGCAAGCAAGTTAGTCCCTTTCTCAGAAAATTTATTTTAAAAAATCTTGACAAATATTTCCTTCTTAAACCTTGATACGGAATACTATTTGTGGATGTAAGTGTGCCTGAAAAAAAGTTATTTTTCTGTTCGCTATGTGACCTTATTTTAAAAGTCAGAGAATGACCTTTCCAATTAAACTGATTTTATAGAAATCGGTAATTATGGGCTGCCTTTCTCTTTAGAAATGAGATAAGAGTGGCCTGGGTTTTCTGCCTGTTTTGACAGCATAAAAGAGAACTGGCATTTTCTAGTGTTGACCTTGCCCTCACTTTTTCACCCCTCTTGTTTTTAGTTTGTTGCCATATTCATTCCATCCTCTGGTTGCTAAGAAATGCATTGACAGCAGAGTGAATTTGGTGACCGCAAGTTACCTGACGCCTGAAATGAAAGAGCTACAGAAAAGGTATGACCCACCATGTTTGAGCACTTAGCATCCTCTGCAGATTTCTCAACATCATTCTTGAAGCTGAATGTAAATTTAAGTCAGGCAAATGACTTAAATGTGGATTATCTCCAGGCACAGAGATTTCGCCATTTTAATCAGAATATCAAAATGCAGCATGGCTAAGTCACAATTTGACCCCATCTTGTGACAAACATACAAATGAGACAAGATTTGTGACAACTCTGCCATACTGCTAACTGACAACAGTCTGGCCAGTCCTCACTTCTCCTTCTGATGTCACTTCCTCCAGCAAGAATGGATAGCTGGGCTCAGGGTTTTTCCCCTCAAAATCCATGGCTGGATTATCTCACTTTAGATAGACAACCTTTTGGTGGCAACACTTAACTGCGTTTAAGAGGATGAAACAAAGCAGGCAGGATGATGCCATATCCCTATATGCTTATCTTCTCAGCCAGCCACCCCCCACGTTTCTGCTTTGTTTTATAAGCTATTAAACATGTAGCCACATGTAATAGGATTTTTCTCCCCAATTTTCTCACCTCATTGGGAACCCATACCAATGACTTTTGGCAGTTATAATAGGGAGGTACACCAGAAAGAAAAGGAAGGGAAGGAAAGAAAGAAGGAAGGAAGATTGATCAAAGACTACACATATGACCTGGAATCAAAAGTTAGGTTTGAAAGAAAGTCATCTAAATTAAAAAAAAAACCTGTGTTTTCCAGATAATTTATTGTTTGCAGAAAGCACATGTATACCAGTATAGCTTACTCATTGAAGGAATCAAGTGGGTCCCATTCAACTCACTGCAGCGATATTTGAAAATAACTTGAAATACAATGAATTGTATGTACCCCGCCTGCTGGAGCAGTGTCTTTCAACTTTGGCCTCTTTAAGACATATGGACTTCAACACCCAGATTTCCTCGGCCAGGATGGGTTTCAATTCTGGATGTTGAAATCCACACTTCTTAACAATTGCAAGGTTGAAAAACCTTTGTTAGAGGATGGTTTGGGAGCTACTGAATTCAATCAACAGTGGAATATAGATAGCCCTTGACTTGTAACCACAATTGAACCCAAAATTTCTATTGCTAAGTGAGACAGTTAAGTACATTTTGCCCCTTTTAGGACCTTTCTTGCCACAATTGTTAGGTGAATCACTACATTTGTTAAGTTAGTAACACAGTTGTTAAGTGAATCTGGTCTCCCCATTGACTTTGCTTGTCAGAAAGTTGCAAAAGGGGAATCACATGATGCTGGGACACTGCAACCGTCATAATATGAACCAGTTGCCAAGTCTCTGAATTTTGATCACTTGGTTATGTGGATGCTGCAATGGTGGTAAGTGTGAAAAATGGTTATGTCACTTTTTTCAGTGCTGTTGTAACTTCAAATGGTCACTAAATGAAAGGTTGTAAGTCGAGGGCTACCTGTAGTTCAGGGGTGTCAAACTGGCAACCCACAGGCCGGATGTGTCGCATGAAGGCCACGCCCACCCCAGTTCCGGGAAGGGAGAAAATGTTGTGATATATCACATGATGGCAACATGATGCTGTGCATTTGACACCTGTGCTGCCCTTTGTAGAGATACCTTGCTGTTGCTTTCTACCTGATATCTTTCCTTGTATTATAGCGCAGAGGCAGCTGGCATTACCATTATCAGTGAAGTAGGTTTGGATCCTGGCCTTGATCATATGTTGGCAATGGAATGTATTGATAAAGCAAAAGAAGTGGGTGCTACGGTAAGCTCGACTGAAAAAAGAATCCACATCATTGCCCACACTCCTTCTCCCAGGTTTTGTTTTTATTCTCCTCTTCTTCCTTTGAAAAAATGGAAAGCTTTTCTCTTTCCTTTGCTTCTTCTATGAAGCATCAGGTTTTACTGCACGCAAAGACAAAATGGAAAAGACAAATTCTGATGAATGGTGAGTTTTGAATTTCACCTGAGCAAAGTCTATGGACTGAGGAGCAGATTAAGTCCCGCAGAAAGTAATAACATGCAGCTGCTGTAATTTTAATACATTTATAATAAATCCCATCATTTTCAGAGGGGTGTGCAGGAGAATCCCCTTCACGTCCACCCATTTCTTTTTCTGTAGCTCATAGCTACGGGATTGCAGTTAACTCACTTTGTGATTTGTTTGTGCTTAGAATGTGCAGGCTTTAGATGAATAGAAGATGCTAGGTTAATTTTTAATTCTTTTTCTGTTACTAGACATTATAAAAGTTAAATGAATGAATTTCTAAAGAAAACTATATAAATGTCTTAGCTGTCTTTCTGTAGACATACTGCAAAACTATATTAATCAGAAATATAGAGTTAGACTATGTTAAATAAATTCAGGAATCTCTATTGTATAAACTAACTGAATTTAGATTGAGAACTTTATTTTAATCAACTCCAGGTGATCTCCTACACTTCCTTCTGTGGTGGCTTGCCTGCTCCTGAATATTCTGACAACCCCCTGAGATATAAATTTAGCTGGAGTCCACAGGGAGTCCTGCTAAACACAGTTAAACCTGCAACCTATTTAAAAGATGGAAAGGTGATGTAATTTCTCTCTAAAAGTATAAACATTTGTTTGTACGTATGAGTGCTTTCAAGTCCATGCCTTTCTTGTAACATTTTCACAAATGGTCTGCCGTTGCCTTTCTCCTGGGACTGAAAGAAAGTGACTGGCCCAATGTCACCCAGCTGGCTACATACCTAAGGCAGGATCAGAACTCCTGGTTTCTAGCTTGATGATTTTAACCACTGTATCAAACTGGTTTCCATGTGTATGTTAAAATGAAAAGGTGGTTAATAGGTATATCAGGTTGAGGAATTTTGAAAACTTCTGAAGTGAACAAAGTTAGTTCTTAATGGAACATTTTCATTTTCAGTTAGGGAGGGGCAGATATAACTGAGCCAATCCAAGCACAGCCATTTTTGTATCACTACCCCTTTCCAAAGTTCTCTTTCCCATGTCATCCATGGTTAAAGGAAATGTAGCCTTAGCTGTCAATCACCTGTTCTATTAACTAAATTGTCTAGTTCAGGGGTGTCAAACTCCCGCCCTGTGGGCTAGATGCGTTATGCGCTGGCCATGCCCACGCCCAATTTAGCCAAGGGGAAAAATGTTATGATCTGTTATGTGATGTTGCTGTGATATCATAAGTTTGATACCCCTGGTCTAGTTCCTTCTTTTTAGAATAATCCACGGACAATACAATGGTCCCCTAACTGTTATATGGTGAGGTGATCAAAGAAGAAATCACTCTATGGGGGAGATAAATTTGATAAATAATATAAAAGCAAGAAGAGTCTTCACGCTGCTATGATTTGCATGGAGACTGTTTTAAAGAAAAGCAAAATATTGATCAGCTCGAAAAGGGCTGATTTCTCCTAATTCTGAATTAAATCTCCTTTGAATTCAGCCACACCCATTGGGACAAGTTTGAAGAGGAACAAACAATTTGGCATAGTAATAATAACTTTTGTTACTTCAAAAGACTTAAACATGAGGTTATGTTAGTAACCTAGGCTTTTAGGACATGAATCAGTAAGATTTGAGGCAGTGTCAAAACTAGTTTTAGGAAAGTTTCTGTTAAGGGAATGCAGGTTATGTGTGCCATGTAGCACACTGAAGGTCTTGTGAAAGAACAGCAGGGACCTGAAAGGAAGTGGCCATAAATAATATTTGGGAGAAATGTTCAACCTTCATAATTGTGGGAGACAGGCATTGTAAAGAGGAGCTTACAAAATTTGGTGAGCCCTGTCCTCAAATATAATACACTTACATGATTGTTATTTTTCATAATCCTTAGATTATTAATATTCCAGCCGGAGGAGCTTTGCTTGATTCTGTTACTGTCATGGATTTTTTCCCAGGATTAAATTTGGAAGGCTTTCCAAACAGGGACAGTACAAAATATGCTGAACCTTACGGCATTCAATCAGCTCACACTCTTTTAAGAGGAACTTTAAGGTACACGGTAGGTACATTTGGCATCATAGAAGTGTGATTGATCTTAGAGAGAGCATGAGCACCTACAGAGGAGGGGGGAAATGACTCAAACCACATGGATTATGTATTTGCATGGGATATGGAACAAAAGGATGAAAGACTGGGGTTTTGTGTTGTGATATCATAATATATACATCATTGTTTTTGCATCCTTGTGGTTTGTAATAGATGCCTGTGTTAGAAAGTTGAAGGTACTGTATGTCCACACCAATTAAAACACTAGTTAGTTACTCTTTGGTTTTTAATTCTGGAACAGGAGGCCTTTTTTTTAATAACCCTTCTCAGATGTGGGATCCTACTGGTTTAACAACCGGTTCGCTGAGTTCACGTGTGTGTAGTTTACTTAACGTGCCTGACTGCTGGCAAGGAAAAAAGCTGAGGTGCGGCAATGCACTCTGCCGTGCCGATCAGCTGGGCTTCGGAAAAGGAAATATAGGTGAGTGTAGTGCAGGGGTGGGCAGACAGGCCCACTTCAAAGTCGGAGCAAAGCAGTTTGCTCGCAACTGATAGTCGGAGCTACTAGTTCGCTCGAACTGGTAGAATCCCACCCCTACCCCTGCTTTACACGCAGATAATCCACAACTTGCAACTATTTGTTCAGTGTCTGTTCAAAATTACAATAGCACTGAAAAAGTGATTTATGGGTGGTGCTCACAGTTATGACAGCTTCCCCATGGTCATGTAATCGAAATGCAGGCTCTTGTCAATTGGCATCTAACTGGTTGCAGTGTGCCAGGTCCCGTGATTACCATTTGTGACCTTCCCAACTGGCTTCTGACAAGCAAAGTCAATGGAATCAATATTGTCATGACCTTTTTCATGCTTATTAGATTAGTAGGTCTGAAGGTTTGTGTCCTTTCCTAATCCTTTCCATTTGTCTTTTCCAGGGTTACTGTAAAGCTATAGAAGGTTTTGTGAAATTGGGACTAATAAATCAAGAACCCTGTCCTATGCTTAGTGCGACTGCACCTTCTGTAAAATGGGTAAGTTATACCCGTTCCAAATGAGAGAAATAAAACTGAGGTTGGTATGATAATTAGTTCCTGTAAATTTAGTAAGTTTACAATATGCATTGTTTTAAATTAGTGTAAATAAGAGCAAACCTGTAAAATCATTTTCTCTTGAGGGATTTTGAGTAGAGTGGCCATCATTCAGAAGGCCCAAACTTTGGTGTCTATGAGCCTTTTATAATTTTTATTGAAGATTTTTTTTAACTTTTACAAAGTTAAAATTACAGGGAGGGAAACCATAGGAGAGAGAAAAAGACATAAAAAGAAAAATAGAAGCAAAATTTATAGTATATAGATCAAGAAAAGAGAAAGAAATAAAGCAACTCCTATCTTCTTTGCAGAGGTTGCAAGGATCAATCCACCCCCCAAATTACATAACATAGTTCACTTCTTCCCATCGATAACCTTTTTTATTCAGTAAGTCCAGAGATCACCGTTCATGTTTATCTATTTTCAGCAAAATCTTCGTAAGGTCTATTATAGTCTATTATAAAAGTAGCTATTGCGCCTTCCCTAGTCAAATAAGTCAATTTAGCCATTTCTCCACATTCTGTCATCCTCATCCACTCTTCCATTGTGGATTTTTGTATATTTTTCCATCTTTGTGCATATAATAGCCTTGTTGCGTCTCCTGTGAGTCTTTTCTTATTGTCTGTCCTGTTAGTAAAAGTTCTGGTTTTAGCTGAATATTAATTTTTAAAATTCTCTGTATATGTATTTGTACCCAGCTTTTTAAAAAACTTTTTCCCAAGTCTACCAAATATGGTAAAATGCCCCTTCATCTTTTGGGCGTTTCCAACAACAATTAGTGATATGTATCAGAAAATCTCTCTAGTGATATATACTTACAGTATATCATTTTATTTTTAAAAATCTCTTAAATTATAAGACAATGTAAATTTCATTTCTTTTACCCATATTCTTTCCCATTGACCTATCTGTATGTTGTAATATGTTCTTAGCTTATGTTATCATCTACTCTTTAACTCATTCATCTTCTATTTGAAATCTCAACAGTCATACATTTTAGCAATTGCATGGTCATCATTTGTTCTATACCTGGTAGCTTTTTATCTATATTCAACTTCTTCCTCAGTTGTGCATATGAAAACCATTGAAAAATAAATCCTTCTATGGCAGGGATGGGCAATCATGGTCCCTTTACAATCTGTGAACTTCAATTCCCAGAATTCCTAAGCCAACATGGCTGGCTCAGAAATTCTGGCAGTTGAAGTCTAGACCTCAGAGGTGCCCACTTCTCTTCTATGGTCATTTGTTCTCAGGATTTTAAATTTTCCTGTATTAACAAACCTTGATATGTTACCCATTTTCCTTGTTGATTATTTTGGTATATTTCTTTTCTGCAATTTTTTAAGGCCTCAGTACCTTGGTTTTCGGAATTTCAATCATTTTTCTTAAACTGCTTGTATTTAGAAAGAGCTAATGTGTAAGTTACTTGGACTTCAGACTTCTGTCAAATACGATGAACTCCAACAGGCTGTCTGCAAACACCTGGATGGGAACAAAAAACAGTTGGAAGCAGTGGAATGGTATGATAGAAATTGTAGAATTTCCTCATTTTTTTCCTTCCACTTCTAACATTTAGATATTTCATATACTGGACTGCTATAATGTTTTTCTTTAAAATATGAATCAGTCATGTTTACTTTGAAATGTTTAGCTCAGTGAATAAATCAGTACTTGGATTTGCTTGCAAGATTACTGGCAAAGGTTAATTTACTGGGGTTTTTCTTAGCTGCCAGCCCTCCCTCAAATACCTCCAGGGGGAGTGTAACAATGTTTAGAACAAAAGTAACCTTATTAGTGAGATTGATTATAGAGAAAGCAGAAGGCAAGTCTCCAGCTAAAAATATTAGCAATATTCTGATTTTGCTGCATAGTCTCAATATAGAATGCATTACCAAAGGTCAGAAAATTGTATGACTGTCAGGGAATGTAGGAGGGAGATGTGAATTCCAGAGGCAACTCAACCTTGAGGTTATGTGAGAGAGAAAGGGGATGAAGACAGTCCCACCATTATAGTTTACAAACTAAATGGAGATGGAGATACAGGAGATGCAGGATTATGTCTATAAATGTGAAAAAAAACAAGAAGATCTTGGAAGAATCATCATGTAACATTCCTCATTTTAAGCCTGATATCAACAGAACAGTCTGTCCAACCCCCTCCCCCCAACCATAGCTTGTACGAAGGCACAAAAGTATTCCTAGACTTCATGCTTAATCATTGGATAGAGAATTTCCCCCTAAGAAAAGGAAAAACTAAAGATTCCCTGCTACGTATCTTATTTATACTATTTCTTCATAGAGTTCCTTCTCTGCACAACAAATGTACACGAGGAGTCTAAAAACATGGCAGCAACCCGAAACTCCTTGAGAGAAATGCTTTTGTACAGCTGTTCATCTGTCATTTATGTCACAGTGCCAAATTGGTGTACACTTTATGACTATATGGGGTGAACTCAGAGTTTGGGGAGAAGATTAATATCATACAAGTAGCCCTTGACTTATGACCATAATTGAGCCCAATTTTTCGGTTAAGCAGGGCAGTTGTTAAGTGAGTTTTGCCTCATTTTATGACCTTGTTAAGTGAACCATGCATTCTGTAAGTGACTCTGGCTTCCCTCATTGACTGCTTGTCAGAAGCTCGCTGGGAAGGGTTACAAATGGTGATCATTTGACCCTGGGATAAATATACAACAGAGGCCATGTGTCCGAATTTGGATCACATGGCCATGGGGATGCTCATGTGTGAAAAATGGTCAGTCACTTTTTTCAACGCCGCTGTAACTTCAGTGCTCACTAAACAAACGGTTGTAAGTCAAAGACTGTACTCTTGCTTCTCAGTCATTCCTGTGCAGAATAGGAAATTCATACATCTTTGTCAATCCTGCATGTACTTAAACAGGGTATAGTTTTTCAACTTCTTTTCCTAGTTTGACATTTTAGGGTGTGAATTTTTAATAAGAAAATTGTGCCAGAAATTTGTATAAGTTCAGGTTACATACATAGCCTACCTATATCCATGAAAATATAATTTTCAGGGTATTGGATAGAATTAAAAAAATAGTTCGAGTGCTTTATGTTCTGCCCTTGTTGAACAAACTCCATTTCACTGGGGAAAAGTCTTCTTGCTCTTCTTTGCATTATCTGTTTTTATCTGCCTTTCAGGTTGGGGTTACTTGGAGATGAACCTGTTCCAATAGCGCATAGTATTGTGGATGCATTGGCCAAACACATGGAAGCAAAGCTCTCGTACGGTAGGTGACAGGCTCTTCACCCATAGTTCTATTTTCCAATACAGGTAATCCTCAATTTATGACTGAGCCAGGAATTATGGTCCTAAGTCATTGCAGTTATTAAGGGAATCACCGTGTGACTGTGTCTGATTTTCCAATCATTTTTGTGGTGGCTATTAAGCAAATGCTGAAGTTGTTAAATGTATCCTTTTTACCCAAGGAGTATTTTTTGGTGGAATCTGGAAGCTAATAAAACAAAGGAAGGAAATACCTAACTACCAGCTGGATTCCTCTAACCTGTCCTAATTAATGTCAAGGAAACAGCTGAGCATTGAGATGGCCAGACCACTCCAATGATACAGTAGAGATAGTCCTCGCTTAAGTACTAATAGGGACTTCAAAATCTGTTGTTAAGGAGCCCAGCTATGTCAGCCATCCCAGGTTTGTTTGTTTATTTATATCAGAAGCATCACAATTAAAATAAGGCATACTATATGGCATAAAAATTAAAATATAAAATTAAAATATGTACAAATTAAACAGATCTTGCCCAGAAACTAGCAACATTAATTGCATTCTGTCATGCTGCCATGAGGTTCTCAAGTGTACACTGATCAGGGAACAAAGAGCAGGTATACATATGTGTTGTTGTCTCCATATCACCATAATCGCAAAGAGCAGAAGCAACAGGATAGCTCCATTTGTTCAGAGGGTCTCTTGCACAATCTATTCAAAGATTTCCATATTTCCCAGCTTTCATCAGACCAAAGTGCCAGTTTCTCCATTGGTCCCATTCCAAAGATCCACTCTACTTTCAAATACTTCAAAGTCTTCCATCAACCTAAGGAAGCTTTTCCTGGATTTCAATCTCTGCTCAGATGGTTGTAGGGCATAGAGAGGGTTCTATGTAGATGTTGATGAAATGAGTCTCCCTCTCTGTATGCTGCTGCTTGCAGGCGACGAAATTGCCAGCTAGGTGGTAGATCTTTTTCTAAAGGGGTAGGTTTAAGGCATTTGGTGAGAAGCAAGGGGGGACCGAGTCCAGTTTTGGGACAACTATGACCTGGATGACTGAGAATATCTAGGCATTTGGTAATAATTTTGTTACCTTCATTCAGAGCAATATTTACCTTCCCAGCATGTCAGAGGTGGGTTCCGTCAGTCACTACTGCCGGTTTGCTCGTGGGCGCATGCATACACATGCTTGATGCGTTCATGCACAGTGCAATAAAAATTGTTCTGTGCATGCATAGAAGGAAAAAGCAAGGTGGTGGTGCCAGTTCGGGGGATGGCAGGCCTAGATCACTGCCGGATCCAGCAGCCTAGGCCACCAAACCACTACCGGTTCAGCAGAAACTGACCATTGCAGCATGTGCTGATTTATACCAGACTGGGCATAATATTGTTCAATGTCCTCAAATATTTTTCCCTGTACAGCTATTGCCAGCTGTCCCAGGTAATCAAGCAGGAAACATGATCATATGAGCTAAATCTATTTTATTATAAGGCTCCATTAACGGATTCTTGCAGATCTGAAAGCGCAAACTTCCTGCTGCCACTTTTAACCATCTGATTAATTAGGGTGGGTCCATCCTACAATTCTTTCTCTGTTAATTCCTTGGAGACTGTACCCTCTCTTTGATTGTTTCCTAGACAACATCTCTTTCCCTCATCTCCCAAAGTCATTCACACATTCCATTTTGGTCATTAGTCAAAAGAATAATGTGACTGGTTGCAACACTTAGCAACCAGTTCTGCAGTTCTAATTGTGATCATTAATTGGCGACCATGAGGACCATTAAATGAGAACTTCATGTGACTGCATATTCCTGCCAGCTTCCTCACCTGTGTTTGCTCATCCTAACCTGGCAGGGAAGGCCATAAATTGCAATCACATGACCTTTTTAAATAGAGAAGTGAATCTTTAGTATGATTTGGAAGGGAGTTAAACTGCTGCATTTTTATTTTATGGCAAAGTTAGTGATAACTGAGTTTCATAATATAAGTACAGATTTTTTTTACAATTAAAACTTTATTTAGCAATAACACAACACATACAGTTATGCATGGAGAGATGTATTCAATTCCCTCTTTTAAAAGGTGCTGTGCTAATTCTTTTATTATAATCCTTTCATTGTACTTAAAGGTATATTTTCAAAAAAATTGAAAAAATTGTCTATGAATAACAGGTAATTACTACTCAATATAGCATTAGAAAAGTTGTACTGTTCTTGAAATAGTTTTGCTGTTCACTTTTAATGCACAACTTGGTCAATTTTTAAAGAACAATTTCCTTTTGTTTAGGATCTGGAGAGCGAGATATGATAGTTATGAGGAATGAAATAGGAATTAGGCATCCCTCTGGTCATTTGGAAGACAAATATATCAATCTTGTTGTGTATGGAGATGATAAAGGGTATTCTGCGATGGCCAAAACGGTGGGGTACCCTACTGCTATTGTAGCAAAGATGATTCTGGAAGGTATGTAACTTTCTTCTCATCTTTTAACTAAGGAGTCCTTGAAAGTAATGTGATTGCTTTAGGCAATTGTTATAAAATGCCTCCTGAAAAAGCACAACTTATTAACCTTATTATACCTTTCTATTTATGTGGTAAGTTAAGCCTCAGTGCCCAACTACTTATTTTAAAGGGCTTTGGTTACACTCAGTGAGATTTCGTTAAGATACGTTTTGTTCTTCTAACCTATGTCAGAAATATGCGTAGAGTAATTTCCCATAACGATCCTGCTCTCATATTCCTAGTAATGGTATGTTCCCCATTTTTATTTTTCTTTCACTTCTCTTTCTCTGAGTGAAAGGAAATGAATTGTTCTCTTGAAATTAATACACTTGCAGCAGAGGTGGTATTCTATCGATTCAGAGTGCTTCATCTGAACTGGTAGCGGAAATCGTGGGTGGTCCCGCCCATGCGCCCCAGCTCTATGGCATCCCATTTGAGCCCCTTTTTAGGGAAAAGTGCATGTGCGGAAGGCTTAGCCCGTGCACGCTCACATTTGTGAACAGGTAGGGAAGGTAAGTAAATACCACCCCTGACTTGCAGTAGTGTTTCAAGAATAAGTAAAGACGCAAGTCTTAACTGCAAGTAGAATGCCATTGTATTTTTTTTTAATGAAATGAGTACCTACACGTTCTTAAATGAAATGTTATAGAACTATTATGCTGTTATGCCCCTCTAAAATTTGTTCAAATAGAAAATTATATTATTTTGTATTTCAGGTGAAATTAACAGCAAAGGTGTGATCGTCCCATTGACAAAGGATATATATGGACCAATACTAAAACGTATTCAGGCGGAAGGCGTTGCATACACAACCCAGAGTGTTATCAGGCAATAAAGCAGTCTTCATGTTCCTCTCAGCCACCCGTCCACTGAGTTTCTAGTATGCACAAATTGAAGCTTGAAAATCTGCCATGGATACCTTCAGCTGCAAAGTCTTCTGTGCTGAGCCCATTGAAATGAACAGAAGAGCAACAGCATTTCTATTAACCTCCAGCCTTTGGTTCAGTCTTTCACATGAGATTATCCTGTTGAATTGGGTTAATTAAAGGCTACAGTCCCAATGAACTAATTTGGAAGCAAGTCTCAATGACTTCTGTTTTATTTGTGTACTTATCACAATATTTATCATGGTATGTCATGGTATTTTTTTCTTCAGAAATGTAGGATTTTTATACATGAGGCAAGGCTCTTAGGACTGTGCAAAAGTATTTTTCCATTGTTTCATAAATGCTGCAAAATTGCTGCATGTGGTGAATGTTAACACTATTTTCTAGTACAGTGTTTAAAATGGGTTTCTAAAACAATGTATTTCTAAATTTAGAATGATTTGCTCTTTATTAGGAATGAAGAGGTTTATTACCTAAGTGTCCATACTATTGATTTTGAAAAGCTCCCACTTCACCCAGATATGGTTACGCATTGTTATATCATTGGTCTTCTAAGAATGTCTAAGGGATAATTAATTTTCCCATGAGCCATTTTTGCAGTCACTTTGTGATTTGGTCCATATCTTGATGAGCATCTACACAGATTTCTTGAATGATAACTATAGAGTCAAAAATAGTTTGGCTTTTTCAAAACTTAAATCATATTGTTGAGCTAGCTTAGTCTAAGCACTTCCAGTTAAAGGCTGCAATGAGCAGAATTGCAAATGATCTTTCTCTGGAATTCTGAAAACCTTCTCCTAAAAAGGAGATTTTAATGTGCAATACACCAGCCTTTCCTAACTTGATTACCCTCCAACGGTATTGGGATTCCAGTTTCCCATATTTGTAGACTGTATGAATAGTTCTTTGAATGTCATAAAACTGATACAGCTATAATATGATTTTATAGCCAAAGGGAAAACTGTTTTTCAGTTGCACTTTTAATTTGGCATTTTTAATGTATTGAGAATATGATTGTTCTAGACACTTCTATAATACATGTTTAAAATCCTGTTGTGGAGGTAAAATGATCTACTTTGCTTTACATTTGCCAACTGCTATATTCCTTGAAACTATGTTTATATATTGGACAACTTCTAAATTCTGAAGTGCCATGTAAAGTTGCCAATTAGTTAATTTATTTACATTATCTTAAAGATAGAATATTCTGCAGTGCCTTGTAAGGTCCTTACGAGAGAAACAATATAAAAACATGTTCTTATTCTGTAATGGACTTTCAGATCAGTGTCACACAAATAATATGAATTTTCGGGTTCAAATGGAAATATGCTGCATAGCAAGGAAACCAGGCGGCTTTCCTTAAAACCATTCTGGAATGGAGAAAAGTTTTTTTTTTTAATCCCAGGGAGGGAAAATGTGGGCAGAATTCATTTGGAAGTATAGATAAAAAGTGAATGTGATGGGAAAAATATGGAGTCTCCACTGACATCTGCAGCCATACACTGTTGATCATTCAGATAGCTAAACTAACACCAACATAATTTTCCTAGAAGTTTTAATTCCAAGATACAATGAGTGGTAGCTCTGGCTCTTTTCTTAGTATTCTTGGATATACAAATACTAAATTTATACATGGGCCCCTGATATTTGATGTATTAGTTAGGTCAGAGCAATTTTTAATATTGTATAATCCTGTGTTATACAATACAATTGTATACATTTACTGAAAAGTAAATTCCACTGTAGTGATGAAATGTAATGTGTATATACATGTGTATCAGCAGAAGCTTTAATATCTATATAGCATTAATATCCCTATTTTTTTTAATGCTCACTTATGTTAGCAGAAGATAATTGCTATCTGAAATCATTTTTTAAACACAATGTCCAATGTTCTTGCTCTGCCTGTTGCGGTCACTGAGAAGTAGGAAAAGTGAGTACAAGATGTACAAACTGGAGTCCCGGTGGTGCAGTGGTTAGAATGCAGTACTGCAGGCTACTTCTGCTGATCACTGCTAGCAGTTTGGCAGATGGAATTTCACCAGGTTCAAGGTTGACTCAGCCTTCCATCCTTCTGAGGTTGGTAAAATGAGGACCCGGATTGTTGGGAGCAATATGCTGACTCTGTATAAACCACTTAGAGAAGGCTGTAAAGCATTGTAAAGCGGTATATAAGTCTAAGTGCTATTGATATATTCACTGGAAAGTAGTGGAACTGCTTCATTTATACTTAGCAGACATTTTTTTGAGGGCTGTTGGCCTGCAAACAATTTGCCACCTAATTTCACAACAAAATGCCTCACTTTGTACAATCCCCATAACAACCAACCTCCCCGGCTCCGTTCTAAAATAAATTTAAAATAAAGGTTAAATAAAGCTGTATTACTGTGCATTTCTGTGGCTCCTGCATACGAGAATGTATTCATGGAGAAGTGAGAGAATAAGGAAACTAAGCAGTAAGGAGTAAATGTATCAATAGAGTTTCAGGAGGGATGATATACAAGTTTAGACTTCACTCAGGGAAAAAGGCACAACCTGTTTAAGAGAAACGTTTTAGCTTGTGATGGTGAATCTTTTAGACACCAAGTGCCCAAACCGTGCACGCACATGCCCAAAACTGAATGGCGTGCCCGAACACGCACATGCCCACACTTGCACATACATGTGCGCATGTGCATCAGGGACTCAAAGACCAGCTGGCCAGCAGGAGGTGGAGCATCCCAGCACTGGCAGCGCAGCAAGAGCTAAGATCTTTTTCTTTCGTGAGCTTCTGTTTTGTTGTTTGCAGGGAAACAGAAGCTCACAAAAGAAACGCCATGGAGATCTGACCTGGGGTGATGTGTGCCAGCAGAGAAGGCTCGCCATCACGGTTTTAGGCAATCCAGAGTTGATTCAGATCATTACTCTCTCTTCCTGCCCAAATAAAAGGATTATCATGGAAGCCCTAGTTTTATATGGTTTTCAGTTTACAGTATCGGAAAGGGACAAGAAATTGCCTGACTAAATTCAGAGTCACTGACATAAAAAGTATGCTTGTGAGAGACAATTTTGTAATTTGTATTGTTTTTGAAAATTGCTTTCTTGCAGAGACGTAAAGTGAAAGGTAATGTGTTACCTTGGATTTTAAAAATCTGATGCTTTTGCTATCCTGCCACACAAAATAAAAATGTTTGACCTTCATGTGGGAGCAATTCTTCATATACGTGAGAATGTTCATACTGCATTGTTATCCTAACATAGTTTATGTACAGTTAGTGCAAAGAAGCATTAGACCTACATGCAGAAATGTTTTGAATTCTTTTAAGTAAAAGGCATGCATTCATGTAGCAAAGTATTAATTGCAACAAAATCTCCTTAGCTTTTGAGATCACTCAAGTTCGGTTAAAAAGAAAAGTACAGTTAGCCACAGAGTGGCTTGTTCACTAAAAGGAAGACCTTCTATGGCTCATGAATTGATTTTTTTTCCAGAATTAACAAGGATTGGTAAAGTTCCTGCAATGTTACCAAATGTCAAAATGAATCTTAATGGATAACTTATATGTTTAGTCTAATGAAAAGAAGGACTAGGGGAGACATGATAGCAGTGTTCCAATATCTCAGGGTTTGCCACAAAGAAGAGGGAGTCAAACTATTCTCCAAAGCACCTGAGGGTAGAACAAGTGGAAACTAATCAAGGAGAGAAGCAACTTAGAACTGAGGAGAAATTTCCTGACAGAACAATTAATCAGTGGAACAGCTTGCCTCCAGAAGTTGTGAATGCCCCAACACTGGAAATTTTTAAGAAGATGTTGGATAGCCATTTGTCTGAAATGGTATAGGGTTTCCTGCCTAAGCAGTGGGTTGGATTAGAAGACCTTCAAGGTCCCTTCCAACTCTGTTATTCTAAAATATTATATATTAAACTAAATGATGAAGTTGTTATAATTGGAGGGCTGAGCCCATGTGAACAGCACCAACAATATTAGAAACCTCCAAGGTCCCTTCCAACTCTGCTATTGTATTGTATATCCATAGCATTGGCCTCTTTTACAGCTAAGGATGCACTTTAGAATGTTGCCTGATTTTGTAATGAAATATTTGGTTCTAACAATGAGAAAAGAAGCACTAAGTTAAAATCAAAAGTTTTGGTTAACAATGTGCCAGAAAGGTATATATTGGAACCATGAATCACTACTATCAGTGAAATACTGGAAAACTTCCAATTTTCATAGTGGTTGGACTGACTTTAGGAATGTACAAGAATAATCTGAAGGTTTGCTTTTGTTAGGATCATTTGTATTTCTGATATACTTATTTCTAAAATATATATGCCATTCACTTCCCCAAAAGATTCTAAGCACCTTACCAATACAGATGTTGCTTGACATATAACTCTTTGTTTAACAATCATTCAAATTACAATAGCCTTGGGGAAAAGTAACTTACAACTTGTCCTCAAAGTTACAGCTGTTGTACTGCCCATTTGATCATGTGATCACAATTTGGCTTGGCAACTGGCTTGCATTTACAACTGGTTGCAGTCAAGTGATCATGATTTGCAACCTTTCCAGCTTGTTTCCAACAAGCAACATCCATTGGGGAAATTGGATTTACTTAACACCCATGTCAGAGGTGGGCTGTACTCACCTTAACAACCGGTTTGCTGGTTGTGAGCACAAGTGCTCGCTTCGCTCACACCTCTTCGGGGCTGAAATGGAGCTTCAAACATGCAGCTAATCAACTCAGGCAGCTCCAGTGAATACAGCAGGTATGGCGCAGAACTCAGCTGGGCAGGGGGAATCAGCCAGAAAACTAGTTATAAATGGAAAGGATAGTGGGGGGGGGGTAGGGCCAGCCAGTGATCACAACTACCGGTTCACCCAAAATGGTCTGACCTGGCAGCAGCCCACCACTGAACCATGTGATTTGCTTAACAACAACAGTGATTCGTTTGATGTACAATGACTCACTTAACCACATTGTTTAGCAACTGAAATTCCAGTCCTAATCATAAGATGAGAACTACTTGTAATTTAAAAAAAGAAAGCAACAAGGAAAACACCACCATCCTAAAAAACCCTAGTAACAGTAAGATTTCTCGTTGACGGAGGGCAAAAAGCCATCTTACTTGCCTCCTACAGGAAAAGGCCTTGCATAGATGTCACCATATCAACAGTAGTGTTTGGAGGAGTTGGGTGCCAAATGGAATCCTGAGTATCAAGGCCGGGGAACATTTTCCTGCCTTGCCAATATTTTGCTGCTGAAAAATGAAAAGGCATCTCTGAAGGTACAACGAGGGTCTTTAAGAGTGATGAGGCAGATTTTATTTTTGCCAAGTGTTCAATACAAGCTGAAATATTGATACTCATTTTTGTAATGCCGTGGATAGAAAACATTGAAACAATGCTTAGTACAGACGTTATTTTCATAGAAACTTCGTATTTCAAAACAAGTATATTTCGATTTCCCACAAAAGTTAAAATTACATGCAGAGATAGTTACCATTTAGGATGCATGACAATATATCAGAAGCTACTAAAATTAAGAACTACATCATTTTAACAATGCAATTACACAGAACTAGAAAACTGACTTTGTAGTAAAATATAAAAATCTACAATTATAAATATAAATTTGGTCCATGGAATCCACTCTAGAAATATTTACAATAAGTATCAGTTCTACTAAATGCCTACTAAAGTCTTAAAATGTTGAATATTACAGAGAATATATTTACATTCTACCATATTAAAAGTTAAATTTCTAACAAAGGTATTAGGAGTGCTATAAATAACAATGAATTGGATACTAAAATGTGTGTTGCTGAAAACTTCAGCATCTATAGTTATGATAAAATTTAAGTGAAAATGTAATCACAAAAATTAAAAACTAATACTGTAAAAGACTACATACCATTCTTAGAAACTGCAGAGTTCAGTAAAATTAGTTCAAACATAACAAAATGCATTACGAGATTTTTTTTTCAAAAAGGCACACATTGTTAATGCATTTGCAAGAAATGTTTATTCAAATCAAATGAAATTTTAAAAAAAGATTATTTAATAGCTGGACATCACCCTGCCCCATGTAAAAAAAGGAAATATTTCCAGCTCTGGATAATTGCTCTGTCATATTTTGATTGAAGTCAAACTAATGATTCCAAGCTTTCCGCTGCACTGCCATCTGGTAAAACTGAGCCATTACTGTCGATGGATATCGAGGGATTTTCTTCTTGCCTTGAACTAACAAGACTGAGGACAGTTTTGTACAAAAACTGGTAATGGTCCTAAAAGATTATAGGTGAGTAGAAAATGATGAGACATTAGCGTGGCTTGTATGGATTACAAGCACTAACAGCACATTCAGTCACCAGGAAGTAAGAAACAAGCAATTGCATGCTCAGGAGATGGTTGTCAAGGAGAGACATTTTCCTGGCCAAGAATAGTGCCTAGGTAATGATAGGGAGAAAATATAAAGGGACATTTCAAAATGGTAAAAGAAGTTGTTCCTGAGTTATAGATCAAGTATATCCATGCTCAGAAAATTGGCAAATTAATTGTTGCCAAATTGAAGCAATGCCAGGGTGAGATTGAAAAATTGTAGCAACAGATTCTCAGCTGGGTGGGCATGGCCATGGGGGCATGACCTAGTTGGCTTCCTGCACCACAGCAGGGGGGCATTTTCACCCTCCCAGGCTCCGGAGGCTTTCCTTGAGCCTCTGGGAGGTGAAAACAGACTTCGCCAGGCTCTGGAGGCCCTCTGGAGGCCGGAAACAGACCCGTTTCTGGACTTCTGGTGGGTTCGTTTTTCACCTTCCCCAGGCTCCAGAGGTTTTCCTTGAGCCACCAGAGTCCTCTGGAGGCCAGAAGTAGGCCCATTTCCAGACTTCCAGTACTTCTGGTAAGCCCATTTTTTTTGTCTTCTCAGAACCTCCATGCAGGCCCTGGACTTACCTGGAATGATGAATGGGCTGCGTGGAGACTCCTGGGAGGGCGGGGAAGGGTAGATGGGGTCAGCCAGTCCTTCCAACTACTGGTTCGGCGAACCAGATTAAAATTAACATCTGGTTCACCTGAATCGGTCTGGGTCCAAAGTGGCTGAATCCCACCCCTGCCAGGCCTGCTATTTTAAATACTTAAAATGAGATTTTCTCTCTTTGAGAATGGAATTTCATCCCACAAAGAATGCAGTTTCATCATGCAGAGTAATTCTTGGCTACTTACAGTATCTGTGAAGACTCCAGGTCTCATCAAATTGACCATCTTAGCTACATGATAAACATCCACACAATTTTCATTTTCTAGCTGATGCATAAGTGTTGTTAAAGCACAGAAGGTACCCGCTGTCACTCCTCCATACCTTATGAAACAAAATACATGAATGTACATCTAGAAAAAGAACATGCCTTACATTTTGATAAAATACAAAGCTGCTTAATAAAAATACCATTTAGGACTTACTAGAAGGGTAGAGAATCTATCAAATGTGATTTATTTATGATCAACTACTAGTTCTGATCACTATTAGATGGGCATATGCATTAAAAAACATATTAAAGGATTCAAATTCTCTCATTTAAGAGCATCCTTAGTTACCACTTGGCCTGTTTGATTGTTGCAGTTCTTATGAAACATAAAAATATATTTTTAAAAAGATGTACGCACACTACTTTTGGACCTTTTAACAACTGGGTTATTATAAACCAGTAAATATCTTGCCTTCTACTCCAGAACTATGCTTGCTGTTATACCATCTTTCTTTTCCCCCCCTTTTTCCTATTTCTCAAAATCATTTCTTGTATGTGTTTCTTGGATCGATTTTGAAGCTGAATTAATGTCTTTGAGTTGACATGACGTTAAATTTTCTGTGCCACTACATATTTTATTATTATCCTTTTAAGTAGTTTTATATGTTTTAATGTGCAAACATAGCAACAGACCATGTAAATGCATTTTGTTGCCTTAAATTACAGAGGATAGTGTTAGGGCACCTGACTAGAAAGTGGGAGGCCATGAGTTCTAGTCCCACCTTAGCCAGGAATGACTTTGGGACAGCCCAACCCTCCTCACAGGGTTGTTGTTGTGGGGAAAATAGGAGGAAGAAGGAGTAACTCCAGGTATGCTCACCACCTTTAGTTATTTGTAAAAATAATAAAGGCAGGATGCAAATAAATAAATAAATAAAACCTGATTCTTTTTTTCTGACACAGCAATGACTGAATAGTAAGAAATTATTAGTCATTGCTTTCGCATGATCTTTCACTTATAATGATTTTCTTATTCTATTAAAGTGTTGCTATTTCTTTTCCACATACTCTTAAACTGTTTTGCTCCATGGACAGTTCCCACAGATGCAATAATACTGAAGTACTGGCAGAGTCAAGAAGGCATTGTTAAGAGATGTTGAATACTGGCACTTTTAAGTGGAATAGAAATTTGGCTCCAATTTCTTTCTATAAATATGACTTTTATAACTCAAAGATGCTGTACAAAACATACATAGAGATGCCAACAATTATTGAATTTGAATTAATACTTACTCATCATGCACAATCATAGGGCCATCTCTGTTGGAAGTTTCTTCTTTTATGATGCTTATAAGTTCAAATGTTTTACTAATAGGGCTATCTGGATTTGGCCATCTTGGACACTGAAAGTGCCTCACTTCAAGAACGTAATCATCCTCAAAGATTAAAAAAAATAGTGCATTTAATTGATTCACATTTATGAAACAGGTGAATCAATACAACTGAAAAACATGTTTGGCTTGAAAATTTCCCACAGTTCTGTGAAAAGGTACTTGCCCCCTTTAGGATTTTCTGAATGTTGACAGATCTTTGCCACTAAATCCATTACTGAGATATAAAAGATTGAGTGAACAGAACCTCAACTTCCTCCTCCTCAAATGTTTGGGACATGTTTCATTTAGTTCATGAACAAATAATTTTACACATAATGTCCCAGTTAATCTATATTCCTTTAAGAAAACAAGAGTGACCTGGCTTTTTTTTAGCTCATTCAAGTGAAATTCTCATATGCAAATTCTAGTCGCAAGATATAATACCTCTGAAATTAATATTTTGAAAACCTGGGTTAAAAAGTCACTGATGCTTTTCAATCTGGAAAAGTTTACAAAACTATTTCTAAAATTCTGGGGTTCTACTATTACTTTAAGACATATTTTAAGATTATGTCTTTAAAGTAGTAGTAGAACCCCAGAATTTTAGAAATAGTTTAGTCTTAAAATAGAGAACGTTTGGAAAAACAGTGAATTTTCCCAATTTTCCCATCCTGTTAAAATGAATAAAAAAGTGCAACATAAAAACTGAGAACAGCATCAAGAGAACTGTAATCCTTTTGCTTGCCAAAACAATTGCTTATCTCAGTTATTAAAAGGTATCTCTGTAGAGGAATGTTTTATGGAGAAATGAATCAAACATGCCCACATTTGGTCTACATTGCTATTGTTATTTCTGTGTTTTACAGTAAGACTTTCATACAAATTATGAAGCATGGAAGTACGGCCATGAGTTGTTAGGGCTGTTTTGCTGCCTTGGGAACTAGATATTTGGTCATCATTTAAGGAACCAAATTCTTTGCTTTATATTAGAAAATAGTACATGAGAAAATTAAAACATTAACAATTAACTGAAGATGCTGAAGAACAAGTGGGTTAAGAAGCAAATTACTCCTAACAGGTACAAACAGGTTTATAGAAAATGGGTTAAAAAATTTCAAGATTTGCTTGGATTGGCCAGATCAAATCAAAACCTAAATCTTATACCCGTGATGGCGAACCTATGGTATGCATGCCAGAGGTGGCACACAGAACCCTCTCTGTGGGCGTGTCCGCTGTCACCAGCTTTGTTTCTGGTTTATAAGGTTTATACTTATATAATTATAAGGCAGTGATGGCGAACCTTTTTGGCACCGAGTGCCCAAACTGGAACATGTGCATGTGCATGCGTGCATGCACCAGAAACCCGAAGACCAGCTGGCCAGTGCACATGCATGCACTGGCCAGCTGATCTTTGTGTGTGCCAGAGTGCTGGAAACTCAAAGACCAGCTGGCCGGCGCATGCATGCGCACTGGCCAGCTGGTCTTTGGGTTTCTGGCACATGCACACATGCACATGCACATGTTCCAGTTTGGGCACTCGGTGCCAAAAAGGTTCGCCATCACTGGCTTATACTAATATTTTGACAGATTGTGAAATGAGCTGCTCATGCTAGAAAATTCTGAAATGATATTGAGCTGAAACAGCTTGGCATGGAGTAATGGCCAGGGTTCTGATATAGGAATATAAAGAATTAATAACTAATTATGAGGAGCATACTAATCAATTAATTGTTAATTCACTGCCTCAAGTTACTTATAAGGTGATAAAGATTTTATTAGAATAAAATCTAATAAATAAATAAATGTGACTGCGATTACTGCATTTGAAGGTGGTACAACAAGATACCAATTACTTTTTCACTACCTATTGGATCCCAATGTATGAAATAAATGAAACAAGCATCAATGTGACTTATTCACTCAGACTCCTTTTCACATCAACAAGACTATATCAATTTCTGCTAACATTAAATGGTAGTTAAATAAAAATTAAGAACCTTCAAAAAGGTTAAATACAGGTAGTCCTCTACTTATGACCACAATAGAGCCCACAATTTCCATTGTTAAGTGAGACATTTTTTAAGTGAGTTTTGCCCCATTTTATGACTTTCTTGCCACAGTTGTTAAGCGAATCACCATAGTTGATAAATAAAGAACTGGGTTGTCCCATTGACTTTGCTCATCGGAAAGTCTCATATGACCTTGGGACACTGTAATGGTCATAAGTATGGATCAGTTGCCAAGAATCTGGATTTTGATCACATGTTCATGGGGATGCTGTATAGGTTGTAACTGTGAAAAATGGTCATAAGTTGCTTTTTTCAATGCAACTTTGAATGGCCACTAAATGAACTGTTCTAAGTCGAAGACTACCTGTACTTCTTTATATATACATATATACATATGTAATAGTTTAGAAATGGTTTCCATGAAGATTTTAACTTTAATAATTTTTTATTATGTCTCTATATACTGTATCAATGATCCAAATCTGGGAACATGTATAAATGTGCTTAGAATTATATTTTTGGTTGTTATGAAAAAAACACTTTAAGAATATTCCAACCAAAGAAGAAATAATTATATTCACTTTATACCTTATTATGGCATATTCCATTATGGCATTTGGAATTGCAAAAATATAAAATTACAGGGCTAGAAAGCAAGCTATTGTAACCCCACCCCTAAAAGCAAAGCAGTCATCTGAGTTGTGTTTTAATTCAAATAACAGTAACTCTATTGTATAGTAGGAGAGCAAGTGTACTTGTGTAGCTTCTAAAATGAAATCCTGGATTATGAGCTTCTCTTCGTTGGATAAACACTTATGCTCTTCTGAAATCAGGCTGACTTTAAAGCTCTCACAGTTTATAGGATCTTCTTTGTTTGGCCAGTAGACAAATTCATCTTCTGCCTGCTAAAAGGAAAAGAAAAATAAACCCTTCAGATTAGCTATGAAAAAAGTAATAAAGGTTATTTTAATAAACTAACCATCATGTCATTTAATTGCACATTCTAAAATAGGTCAGTAATCATGATGACCTTAAGCTTTATAATCAAGATGTTAAAAATATGCTTTAAAGCAGAGGTCTCCAACCTGGGCAACTTTAAGCCTTAGCGTACTTCAACTCCCAGAATTCCCCAATTGGAAATTCTGGGAGTTGAAATCCGTCAAGGTTTAAAGTTGCCTAAGTTGGAGATCCCTGCTTTAAAAGACATTGTCCTACCTTTGTTTAGAAAATCAGTAATTATTCAATGCATTTTAAAGCATAAATACCAACTTTTAAACAAAGTTATCATGATAACACATGCCAGGCAACAGTTTCCTATCTCTATTCTTATGACAGAAATCTATTACCTTTCCAGAATTCCATCATTTTAAGTATTTTATTTTATTATTCCTATTATGTCCAAAAGACTATTTTCCATGCCTTCATTAAGATATTAGTAATGAGAAAAGCATTTTTAATATCATTTTCTTATTTTTAACACCGAGTTCACTAATCAACAAAGCGATGAGATTCTGTTTCGTGATTAACAACTCTAGTAAGTAATAAAAATGCTGATATGAAGCAAAGCATTTAATCTTACCATATTCTGACTGTCAGGGAGCATAACAATTATTTGAGCATTGTGATCCCATATCATTTTCCAGAAATCTTTGATAGTGTGTAGCAAAGGATGTTGGGTAATAATGAATTCATTACTTTGATAATAACCCTGTAAAGAATACAAATTAAATTAAGGACACCCTGTTTCTCATAAGCATGTGTTTCTTATAAGGAGTGCTCTTCCTTTTAATAGGAGTGTGCTGTTTCTTACAAGCCTCAGAAAAGGCATAATCTTATTAAAAGCAAGAAGATTCCTCCAGAAGATGAAGTACTAAACTAGTGCATACACCACAGACTATTGCAGAAACACTTCAGAGGATTTCTTGTTCAACCTTTTCTTTGATCTGTTTTATAACTACATGGTTTAAGGCAGTGATGGCTAACCTTCAGCACCTGAATCCCTGAAATGCAATGCGTGCGTGCCCCCATGCATTCACCCCCATCATGCATGCACATGCACCCCCTGCACATGCCCCATCCCCTCCCCTGTGCATGCACCCCCTGTAAATGCCCCTCTCCTATGCATGCACCCTTGCATGCCCCCGCCCCTACATATGCATGCACATCGTCCCTTCATGTGCCCCACATGCACGCATGTATGCCAGAGACCTGCCGACCACCTGGTTGGAATGAGGGACACGCATATGTATGGTGCTGAACTAGGGCGACAGCTTGCATATCCACAGAGAGGGCGCCGCATGCCACCTATGGTACGTGTGCCATAGGTTCGCCATCACGGGTTTAGGAACTTTTTAAAATGGTTATATTGGCAAGGAAGAATATTAAATCATTTTCATTTCTTTGATAGCGAAGATGTTAATTTCTGTCCAAAAGTAATCCCAAGGGTGCTTTTTCCAAAAGGCAATTGGACTTTCTTTTTTTCCTTGAAGTTGTCTTGCTTCTCATCCAGGAAGCTTCTTCAGTTCTTCAGAGTTCTTCAGAGAACTGAAAAAGCTTCTTGAATGAGAAGCAAAACGTCTTAAAGAAAAAACCAAGGAAATCCAGTTGCCTTTTGAAAAAGCACCTTTGGGATAACCATGACCTGGATTCCTGAGAATCTCCATAGATATTTACCTAAAAGTACGTTATTTTTGCATATCTATGAAAGATGACCTACATCAGAAATATTTGCAAAGCTTTTATGAATGCTAAACAAGAAGTTATTTTCCTCCATGCCCTTGAAACAGAACATTAATTAAATCACATAAAGCAGAACTATTGGGGGAAAAGTGAAAGACCTGGTAGATCTTGGCAAAAATAACTGCAGTAGTTTAATAGTACATACACTATGATTCTGTATAATCTGTATTTAATTCATTGCTTAAAACTGATTTTAAAATGTTGATCTAGTAATTTTACTAGTTCTCGGTAAATATACTTCAAATTCGCTATTTATATATTCAATTAGAGTGATACATAATTTTTGTTTTTGTTTTTATGGTTTTAACTATTTTTAGCTGTTTATAGATTTTTTAATTTCCTTTTTATTTTCTAGGATTATTTCCCACTGCTTTTTCTCTCTTTAGTACAGTACAGTATTAGTATTAGTACAGTATATAATCCCTTCACTGTACAGCTTGTTAAAACATTTAAAAATAAGAAAGCAACAACACAACAAAAAAGATAGCAGAAATACTATCCTTTTATTATATTTGTTTTTATATTTTTTCCTCTTTTAATATTGATCCACAGAACACCTTCAAATTGCACCATGGATGTTCAGTGGGACTGATTATTTAGCTTTGCTTTCTTTCCAAAAGTTACAAAATAGATGAATTAAAGTTCCCAAAGATGATGCCTTTCATTAAAAGGACCCCAATATGAGCTTGCAGCCCCTGGCCTCTATGTCCTTTCAGTCTGTAATCAGTGGGAACAGACTGAGCTGGAGAGGAAGGGATTGCTTAAAGCTGCAGCTACTCCATCTTTGGGTTGGGATGGTTTAAAAAGCTACAATTAAACTGTCACATCCAACTATAAATAACTCCTGCTTCCTAATTTAAGGACTGGCATGGATTTCTGAACAACTTTTCAACTTAAAGAAAGCTGTGTCATGATATCTAAAGCCAAATATTGTGTAATATAGTGCTGGTCCTTACATTTTGCTTGATTACATACACATGTATTCAATCCATGGATGCCACTTCACACAAGATAATGGCAGCTCTTTGGTGTTCTCTTTGTCCTATCTAGTCTTGTTGCTGGATTGTTTGGTCAAAAGCCTTGGCTGACACAAAGGAACTTCCTCAGAAAGCTGACACCAATGTGTAGATCAATTCAAATTGTAGTGTGATTTACAAGATAACTCACCATAATATAGGAAGCATTAATGTAATCAGTGCCCTCACCAGACAACGATGAAATACCAACTCTAGATCTTTCCACTGTAACACAAAGATAAGAATTTATTGGGATGTGTGTTGCCAATAAAAATGGTGTTACCAACCATTTTCTGACATATATTTTAAAATTCTCCAAATCAGAGAAACTGGAGGATCACCAGCTATTAACACAGGAACCAATATCTGCAGCTATATCTATTGTATTTATTTTACTGAGAGACCTGGTTTAATGTTCTGTTGCTGAGATCTGGAAGAATAATGGGGGCTTTCCTTTCTTTCACTCTTCCATCTAAGCAAATGATACTTTTTGGATCATTTGTACATTGGATCCATACATTTTATCCCTTCAGATGAAGTTATGGTAAATTGCTCCTCCTCCCTTTAGTAATGTGTGAATGGTCTGTAAATTATGAGAAGAAATCTTTCTTTCTTTCTTCCTTCCTTCCTTCCTTCCTTCCTTCCTTCCTTCCTTCCTTCCTTCCTTCCTTCCTT